CAAATCCTAAAGGGTTTTTTCAGTTATATCGTACTAAGACTAGGGAAAGGATAGGTCCATTAAAAACTGAGACAGGTCAAATAACAGATAGTGATGAAGAGATGAGTAGTATTTTTAATAAATATTTTGTATCTGTATTTACTAAAGAGGAACTTAACAATATGCCTTCAGCCGAACAAGTCTATGTGGGTGGGGACGAGGACAGGTTGACGAGTTTAGCAGTTACCAGGGAGGATGTTCTTAAACAAATAGTAAAACTCAAACCAAACAAATCCCCAGGGCCGGATGAAGTGTTTGCCAGGGTGCTTAAAGAATGCAAAGAGGAGCTTTGTGACCCACTGTCAACCATATTTAATAAATCAATAGAGTCAGGCAGAGTGCCAGAGTTTTGGAAAGTTGCTAATGTGATACCAGTTTTTAAGAAAGGAGATAGATCACTTGCGTCTAACTATCGACCAATTAGCCTAACGTCTATTGTGGGAAAGTTACTCGAATCTATAATAGCAAATAAAATTCGTCTTCATCTTGAAAAACATAAATTAATAATTGAGTCGCAACATGGTTTTATAAATGGCCGTTCATGTTTAACAAATTTGTTATCTTTTTATTCTAGCATTGTTGAGGCAGTTGATAGTGGTAAGGATTGCGATGTTGTATACCTTGACTTTAGCAAAGCTTTTGATACAGTGCCACATGAAAGACTGATTAAAAAGATAGAGTCTCATGGTATTGGGGGTGCTATATTAAGCTGGATTAGGGCATGGCTATACCAAAGGAAACAGAGAGTTAGTATAAATGGAATCAAGTCAGAGTGGGAAAATGTTGTAAGTGGAGTGCCTCAAGGCTCTGTCCTGGGACCTCTGTTGTTTATAATATATATAAATGATTTAGATTCAGGTTTGAGTAGCAACATTTGCAAATTTGCCGATGATACGAAAATCGGTAGGGAAATTAATTCGGAGGAGGACTCACTATCACTTCAAGTTGATCTAGATAGGGTTTTGAAATGGTCAAAGGATTGGCAGATGCAGTTTAATGCTGATAAATGTAAAGTTCTGAGGTTAGGTAATGATGATAGAGTTACAAGATACGAGCTAGATGGTGTTGTGATTGCGAAGTCGGATTGCGAAAGGGATCTGGGAGTTATGATTAGTAAGAATTTAAAACAAAAGGATCAATGCATAAATGTTCGTAATAAGGCAAATCGGACACTTGGATTTATTAATCGCAGCGTTAGTAACAAGACACCTGGTGTGGTTCTCAAGCTATATCTTGCTCTAGTTAGGCCCCATTTAGATTATGCAGTTCAGTTTTGGTCGCCATATTATAGAATGGATATAAATTCACTTGAACGTGTCCAGCGTAGGATGACTAAGTTAATTCCCCAAATTAGAAATCTTTCATATGAAGAAAGATTAACAAAGCTTAAGTTGCATTCACTGGAAAGGCGAAGAGTTAGGGGTGACATGATAGAGGTTTACAAGTGGATGAATGGACATAACAAAGGGGATATTAATAGGGTATTAAAAGTATCAACACAGGACAGAACACGAAACAATGGGTATAAATTGGATAGGTTTAGATTTAGGAAAGACTTGGGTAAATACTGGTTCAGTAACAGGGTTGTTGATTTGTGGAACCAATTGCCGCGTAACATTGTGGAGGTGGGGTCCCTCGATTGTTTCAAGCACGGGTTGGACAAGTATGTGAGTGGGATTGGGTGGTTATAGAATAGGAGCTGCCTCGTATGGGCCAATAGGCCTTCTGCAGTTACCTTTGTTCTTATGTTCTTATGTTCTTATTGCAGTGGGATTGGGCAGTTATAAACGAACGTGTCAAAGAACTCAACCATAGACTCAATAGAACAAGAAAGCTATACAAAAAGCAGCCAAGTGACCGCAACAGGAACTTACTTTGTGAGGTCAAGGAACATGTACATCGAGAGACCAGACAAATAAAAGAACAAAAGTGGCTGGAATGGTGTTCACACCTGAATGAACACACCTCTCTCGGAGAGATGTGGCAGCAAATTCACCGGGCCAAAGGGAATAAAACACCTAAAGCTCCACACCCTAAGGATCCTCAACAGGAAGCCGAAGTACTGGCAACCAGGTTTGCAGAGAGAGCAGCCAGCAATCAACTTCCATGAGATGTATTAGCAGTACAGACCGGACTAGAGGAAGAAAGGTGGCACAGAATCCTTACAGCATGTGAAGAAGTCTCTGACACTAATGCCCCCTTCACACTGGATGAGCTCAATCGGGCTAAGAAAAACTCCAAGGATACATCCCCTGGAGCCGACAAAATAACCTATAAAATTATTAGACACCTCGGCCCAGAGGGAGACGCTGCATACCTAAGGTTAATTAATTTAGCCTGGACTTCTCAAACTAGACCTTCTGCTTGGAATAGAGCAGACATAGTGCCGATCCCAAAACCCAAAGATCCAGCTAATCCCAGGCCCATCTCTCTCCAAAGCTGTGCAGCCAAGACGGCTGACAGAATGGCACTCAACAGACTGGAGTGGAAAATGCCTAAACTGCACCATGATATGTATGCCTATAGAAGAGGGGTTGGCACAGTGGAATGTATTACAACTCTGTTAGCCCACATGAATGACAGACCAGGAATGCTGATATTCCTGGACCTCGAAAAAGCCTTTGAACTGGCTAGCGCCCCAGCTATTCTCTGCTGCCTCATTAACAAAGAGGTCAGAGGCAACCTGCTCTCCTGGACCAAAAACTGTCTCATAAACAGAGAAGCAAGAGTGAAACTTCATGGCACAGTCTCTGAGTACAAAAGACATGAAAATGGTACACCGCAAGGAGGTATTCTCAGCCCTCTTCTCTTCAACTGTTTAATGGAAAGAACAGGTTGAAAAATAATGAGGCTGAAACTCCCACATCACTGCAGGCTGCTAAACTACGCGGACGACTTTGTCATCATCATAAAAGGAGGGGATGCGGCGCGCCTTGCACCCAAATGCTTAGACTGCATCAGTAAAGAGGCAAAACAGATTGGGATCAAACTTAACCCCTCAAAATCAAAGGCCATGCCCATAAAAATAGCGAAGTCCAACATCCAACTCACAGTACAGGGTCAACCAATAGAATGGGTCGACACCTATCAGTATCTAGGAATCATCCTGGACACACACATGAATTTCAATGCTGAGGTCACTTACTTGAGAGAGCGAACTGCGGCCCGGACGGCAATCCTCAGGTCGCTAACCTCCCTTTCTGGAGGAGCCAATCTGCAAGTCCTTCGCACATACTATGTACAGGCAGTCACATCAGTGATCGATTATGCCGCACCTGCACTCACAAATCTATCACACCAACAGTGGAAAAAGCTTGAAGTTGCTCAAAACAATGCTATGAGAGCTGCACTGGGAGCCCCCATGTGGACCAGGCTTGAAACTCTTAGACTGGAGACGGGTTTGCCCTCTCTACAAGAAAGAATATCACAGAGGACAGCTACAATTATCAGTAAGATAATTATTTCTTCTGATCCAATCCCAGTACGGCAGGCCTTGGTGGTTGGACTAGGCCAAAACAATGGAAACTCTTGGGTTGCAAGAGCAGGAAAAGTCCTAAACAGACTACATTTAAAAAGCATGATTCTTGTTAGAGAGGGTGATCATCCACACCCAAATTACACTCCTTCCGTGCCGTGGGAAGAGCCTACTTTCAAAATAGTAATAGAAAGTCTCCCAATGAAAAAGGCTGCCTATGATCCGACAATCCTAAGGCGCATAATAGAAGAGCAAATGTATAGCATAGCAGGAGCCACCCACATCTTCACAGACGGATCGGTGGACACAGAAAATGAGAGTGCTGGCGCTGCTCTTTGCACGACCAGCGTACAGGCATATTGGAGACTGGGAGGACTAGTATCATCAACCCAAACTGAGCTGTTTGCCATACAACAGGCATTCGCATATGTGATTGCACAAAACACTCAAAATGCAATCATACACACAGACTCAAAAGCTGCACTTCAAATACTAGGACAAAAACAGTGGAAAGATAATGTGGAAATAATTACCACCATTTTGTATCTTGGAGCAGTCGCTAAAGGCAAAGGACTCAACATAACTTTAAACTGGATCCCATCCCATATTGGAATCCCATTAAATGAAAAAGCTGATGAAATTGCTATATTGGCAACTCGTCATCCAGTGATACATAAAACAATTCAACCCAGCCTAGAGAACATAAAAAACATCATCATCAAAAAACCTAAAGTGTAAATGGCAAGGAAGACCGCATGCTAAAGTGGTACCCAGTAATCATTAAGATTAACTAAAATGACAAGATGTCAGATTAATAATAATAACAATAACAATAATGAGAAAGTCAACAGGAGTCATGGAGAGGATTCGAACCTAGGCGCTGGGGACTCCCAGGAAATCCTCCTCATGACATCTACTGATCTTCTCATTGATGCATCACGTTAATGATTTCTTTGTGCAATAATAATAATTACGAATGAGTGGCAGGATTCAGCCTCTAGCCGGGAAACAACTGAATTTGTTGAAATGAGAGTTAAAGTGTAATATTAATTGATGACCTATAATAGGCTGTCTCAAGTCAGCTGAGTTACTGAAGGTGTTCGGTTGTGGAAATGATAAATCAACAGGAGTTTGGCGTGTTGGTGATAAGTGTGGTGAACGCTGAAGTGCTAATTTATGACGATTAAATTATCTTATTAAAAAATACACGTAACATTAAATGGAAACTTGGATACACAGAAGAGTCAGAAATGATCAGGAATAATTTCTTCAGTGCTGGAGTTGTAAATAATTGTTGTGTTAGACTTAGCCCTTGTTAAAATTAACTACATTCACAATTTTAACTGAAAAAATGACGAGTAAACGGATAAAACAGTCATTGAATCATAACTAAAAAATATCGAAAAGGGAGGCAAGGAGCTGACGTGCGACCATAGAAGCACAACGTGAGTACACCACCGCTCCCCCTCCCCCTTACCATACTAACCTTCAACTTTTGCCACATCCAGTAGGAATGACCTGATGGCGTAGAGGTATTTGGGTGTGGCCAAGTCGCCCATCATTCCTTTGCAGTGCCTACGACCCGCCTCCCACGTGACCGTGTGTGTACTCAAATAGATGCATTCGTCCAGAACCAAAGTGTATGGGTAAGGGCAGGTCGGATCTGGAACAGCAATACGCTGAAGAAACATGAACAACAAACATTTTAAGGTTGTGTATTGGGACAGATGATGAACATAATTATCTTGTTGCTCTAGTACAAGTCAACGACGCCTTGTAAGGTATGGTAATTGTTCAGTGTTGTCAACATCACAGTCAAAGAAATCATTGAAACATCACAAACGAAACAGCATTCTGCCCATCGTTAGTAAAAGTGTACACGTGTATTGTTAGGCCTATGTACATATTTAAATTCATTGTTGAGGACTATAAGGTTCAATAAAACATATTATACACGTTTGTTGGGATTAATGTTATTAACAAATCTGAAAGTGTCTGTGTTTTTAAATCATATTGCATATTGAAATGAATAATCAGAAAACTTGTAATCAAAAGTAACTTAACAAACAAACTGCTCTGTAACAAAACTACATTACCTATGTATACTAACTACTGAACGAAGTCAAAATTAATACCACATTAGAATATTATGGCAGCAATAAAATTTTATTTTGTGCAATTTATACTAACTTTAGCAGTTATTAAAAATGTTTTCTACATATATGTCGAAAAGGGTTTGACCAACTAAACCTCTTTGAACGGTTCTGTTAGTAAAAACTTGTGTGACATGAACCAAATATCATATATGTAAGGAATTGTGCAAAACGTAATTTGTCAAAATATTTTCTCAAATGCAGGAATTACCTTGAGGGAATTGATCGTGTCGTCGTGTGGTAATTGAGGGCAGTTGACGTCGAGTGGCAATTTGGTGGGGTAACGTTATCTGCGAGTCGATCTCGGCAGAGCTAAGCTCCTCCCAGTAATAGTCCTCATACACGGGCTCGTTAGCCACCACCACCACCACCAGGAGAAGTAATGAATACATAGTTACCATGTAAATCTTAGCTATGGTGAGGCAGTCTTGATGCTTCCCAGATACGTCTAAGACACCCAACTTGGCACTCGGGTTGTAGGAGAGGAGTGACGCCCCTGTCGTTGTCTTCTCCAAACAGCGAGCGGCGGGGAAATGATGCTCCTGCCTGGGGTAATTTACTCATACAACACATAGGAGTAACCAGTATCACGTAGCTGGGAATAATGAGGTTAGCTCGCATCTGCCAATTGTGTTACCTCGTAACTATTTAACAGTTGCTTAAACACGTTTACTCCATTTAAGTGGTATTTCCCACTCCGAAGAAAAACATTACTTCTCCTATCTAAGAGCAGTGAAGAATGTCGAAAGTAAAAAGAAATTTTGTCTACTGCTACATTTGGCTAGGATTTCCCATGACCCTGAGCCTGTTACAAGCGCTCAGTCATTCTGGTTACACCAAACAACACCTCACTCTCCCTCCCCTCTTACTCTCCCTCCCGCTCTGCGTCTCCCTCTCCCCTTATTCTCCTCCGTTAATCACAACCCCCTCTTCCATTCCCGCTCCCTCGCCTTTTTCTACTTCCTCCCTCTTCCTCTTCCTCTCACTTTCCCTCTTCCTTTCCCTGGTAGATGTGGCAGATTTATTTTATGTTGTAGATGCGGTGAAAGCTTCAGATGTGGTTGATATGGATATTTCATGTGCCAAATATGATAGATGTGGCACAGATATAATAAGATGTGGCGGATATCGTATATTTTGCAGGTGTGGTATGTGTAGCAGATTTCGTACATAGAGAAGGAATGGTAGATTTTGTAGACTTGGAAGATATTGTTGATGTGGAAGACATGGTAGATTTTGAAGATATGGCAGATATTAGGATATGACATGTGGCAATTATAGTAGATACTTCTAGCATTGTAGATGTGGGATAAAATTGTAGATGCGTCAAGTAATATAGCTGTGACTTATATGGCCGATGATTCAAGTATTGAAGATGTGACATATATGGCAGATGTTCCAGGTTTGGCCAGTCTGGCAGTCATGGAAGATGACTCATGTATGGTAGGTGTAGCATATGTAATGGATGTGGCAGATATGGTAGTTGTGGTTCTTAGATGTGAGGGGTATCGTAGATGTGGAAGGTATGGTAGACGAGGCATATTAGATGTAACATATATGGTAGATATGACGGGTATACTAGATGTGACCGGCATGGTAGATATGACAGGTATGGTAGATGTGATAAGTATGGAAGATGTGGTGGGTATGGTAGACGTGATATTTATGGTAGATGTGATATTGAAGGTAGATGTGGTAGTTATGGTAGATGTGACAGGTATGGTAGATGTGATAGGTATGGTAGATGTGATAGGTATGATAGATTGGGCAGGTATGGTAAATGTGGTGGATATGGGAGATCTGGAAGGTATGGTAGATGTGGCGGGTATGGTAGATGTAGGGGTATAGCAGATATGGTGAACTATAAATGAAAAGCACTTGCTAAATTGACGGGCTGTTACTTCTTATATTCGTTGGTCCATCAGATAGGTGATGATAGGTTAGTTCAAGTTTTTGTGACGTGTGAAAACTCGAGAGGACTTAGATAGAGAGAGAGAGAGAGAGAGAGAGAGAGAGAGAGAGAGAGAGAGAGAGAGAGAGAGAGAGAGAGAGAGAGAGAGAGAGAGAGAGAGAGAGAGAGAGAGAGAGAGAGAGAGAGAGAGAGAGAGAGAGAGAGAGAGAGAGAGAGAGAGAGAGAGATGAGAGAGAGAGAGAGAGAGAGAGAGAGAGAGAGAGAGAGTGAGAGAGAGAGAGAGAGGGAGAGAGAGAGAGAGAGAGAGAGAGAGAGAGAGAGAGAGAGAGAGAGAGGAGAGAGAGAGAGAGAGAGAGAGAGAGAGAGAGAGAGAGAGAGAGAGAGAGAGAGAGAGAGAGAGAGAGAGAGAGAGAGAGAGAGAGAGAGAGAGAGAGAGAGAGAGAGAGAGAGAGAGAGAGAGAGAGAGAGAGAGAGAGAGAGAGAGAGAGAGAGAGAGAGAGAGAGAGAGAGAGAGAGAGAGAGAGAGAGAGAGAGAGAGAGAGAGAGAGAGAGGAGAGAGAGAGAGATAGGAGAGAGAGAGTGAGAGAGAGAGAGAGAGAGAGAGAGAGTGTGAGAGAGAGAGAGAGGGAGAGAGAGAGAGAGAGAGAGAGAGAGAGAGAGAGAGAGAGAGAGAGAGAGAGAGAGAGAGAGAGAGAGAGAGAGAGAGAGAGAGAGAGAGAGAGAGAGAGAGAGAGAGAGAGAGAGAGAGAGAGAGAGAGAGAGAGAGAGAGAGAGAGAGAGAGAGAGAGAGAGAGAGAGAGAGAGAGAGAGAGAGAGAGAGAGAGAGAGGAGAGAAGGAGAGAGAGAGAGAGAGAGAGAGAGAGAGAGAGAGAGAAGGAGAGAGAGAGCGTTTGACCGTTTAGGCGCGGAGTTTGCGTATACAAGGTCGCCGATACTTGGGTCTACAAGGATACTTGGATACTTGGGTATACAAGGTCGCCCTATGCAAGTGGGTGGGGGGAGGGCCCTCCTCAGTCTCTCCAGTGTGGCGCCTGACTGTCCCTGCTTTGTGCCACTTGCCTGCGTGATAGCCATGTCGCAGCACATTAAGATCTTGATGTCTAGATCTGTCACGGGATTTTCACCACATACTTTCTGTTGTGTTTATGATTATTCCAAAAAAAATTATTTTTGCCTAATGCAAGCAGGTACTTTGCCTTAGCATCCGAGTTCCCTAGAACAATGCAAAGCTGATACTCAGTTGTTGCCGTGCAGAAGATCCCATAACTCGAAAGGGAACTGCTTATCTTGTCGAGTACGTTAATCAAAATCAAAAAGTAAGAAAAGGTATCAAAACAGTATAAAAAAGTACCTAATTTCATCATCATAGTTTCCTACCTTGTGCTTCAAACTCACACTGTTTCTTGTACTACCCACTTCCACAAATATTAGTACTTAAGACACATGCTTACCAGTGTAATCACCTCTGTCAACTTATATTGTATATTTGTTGATATATAAACCTTGCTACAATATACCCATTCATCTTACCTGATATGTTTGATTCAAGACCTGCCCGAAACGCTAAGCGTCTTAATGGCTTTGCATGAATGTAAATTACCAATCCTTTGTAATCTCACTAACCCATTGTACTTCTTGCAAATAAATTATTATTATTATTATTATTATTATTATTATCATTATAGTAACAGACTTTGTAAAGCAGCAAGACCTGAGTAACATTAGCCTAGTAGCCACCTAGTAACTGTGGCTACTGGCTACTCTTGACCAGTTATAAACTTTTCCAGAAATTTCTCCAACACATGGATGTTCTGATTGACTTTCAGGTGGCTTATTGACTCTTTCAAGGCTTTGTGTGAGAATCAGAACCCAGATTCGACTAAAGACTCTAGCTGCACAGTAGAAAGTACCAAGGTTGACAGCAATTAGGCGTCTCACACAGCAACTCGTCAGCTGAAGTTTGGTGAGGAATCTATTTTTTTTAATTAAAAAATGAGCTGCGACACACAACTGCAGATCTGAAAATCATTCTACAAGACCTCCAGACAGTTCTTTGTCACAGAAAACTACTTCTGCCACACCAACTGAGGTTACACAAGGCAGCACAACCACAATACCCTATGGGATCTCCACTTTTATCAATTCAGACACACAGACACTTGTAACTACTGTTCACAATCAAGTAGTGTCCACTACACCTGTACAAAAGTCAGATCAAAACTCTACCAGCCAGAATAGACTTCCTAGAAGGACTGGACGAAGATGTGGCCTCCCTGGTCAGTATTCTCAAAGTCCATACTCTCATCCATCAGTAACTATTATATCCAGACGCTGTAAAATCAACCTTCGCAAAATTCTAAACATCAATGCCAGCAGTGTACTCAACACGAGGCTCAACTGTTAAATCGGCGGCTTAGTACTTGTAGTAATCGGGCTGGGCAACCTTCCAGCCTCGTGTTAAGGTTTTGCTCTAAATGCAGGGAGCATACTGCTGAAAACTGCCGGACGTTCCTCAAGCGTAATCAATGTCTCCTAAGAGGGCATCAAGAGGACACATGTCGAACCAAAAAAGATTTGGAGAGGCAGAAACAAATGTATACAACCCTGATCTTGAATCAATCAAAGGGGTACAGGTACTCAGAATTAGTGCACTCGTCACATGTCAGCAAACATGAAATCCATACCCAAGTCTGCAGGTGTCTTAGTGCTTTACGCAACACACCACTATCATACCAGCCACAAGGGCAGCCACTATATACAACTTCTATGTCAAACAATATACATACATGAGGAGTTAATCCATTAGCATAATTGCCAACATCAGGGGCTTCATTACTAATGTTGGCGATCTCACACACAAAGATTTGTGAACACATCGTCCTGATGTGGTTGTTGTGCTAGAAACATTTCTAGATGACAAGACTCCTGAGAACTTTGCTACAATTGCTGGTTATACCTCATGGATGTGCGAAGAGACGGGCAGGGCAAGATGGAGGAGTTGCAGTTTGTTTCATTAAAATGTACGTGTGTTTCTCCAATCAACTTCCTAAGGGATAACCTAGTCTTCCTACTAATGGAACATAAATATCAGCACATATTAATTGTGGGTGGCCTCAATCAGTAGCTCACACAGAGGGATTCTGATGAACTCATAGCAGTTTTTAACTTCAAAAAATTTGTGATCTCTCCAACTCGTATATCAGACTCGTCCTTCAATCGTGTAGTAACTGACCTTCCTGCTAGTATAGTTCACTGCAGACCCTTGATATATGTTGGCTCATCAGACCACCAGGCTGTCTTTACTATGCAATGCTGCTTCGAACAACCTGACTTTTGGACGGGGGAACTAGTAAGCCCTCCGCTCAGAGCTAGCAGCAACTGATTGGAAAGCCTTGCTACAGGGGAACGTGAACAGCCAAGCAAACGCCTTCAACAATCGTATCTGGCAAACCACTTTGCTGCCAAGATTGAAGTCCCTGATCCTGAACGTTAGTCTCCACATCTTGCTCGAAGCACTACATCAAAGATGAATATAGTGGTTATACAGCAGGCCTAAAGTTCTCCATCACCTTTAAGCGTGTGATAAAGTTAA